TTCTTTTCAACATCGTATTGGAAGTCCTAGCCACAGCAGTCAGACAAGAGAAACTGATAAAAGGCATCCAAATAGGAAAGGAGGAAGTAAAACTATCATTGTTTGCAGATGACATGATAGTGTACATAGAGAACCCTGTAGACTCTACCAAAAAACTCCTCAACCTAATAAGTGAATTTGGCAAAACAGCAGGATACAAAGTCAACATTCAGAAATCAAAGGCATTTTTGTACACCAGCAATGCAATAAAAGAAGAAGAAATCAGAAAAAAAATACCATTCGATATAGCACGAAAAAAGATAAAGTACCTAGGGATAAATTTAACCAAAGACACAAAGGACCTATATGCAGGAAACTGAAATTAAGTATGCAGAAAATTGAAAAAAGAAATTAAGGAAGACACAAATAAATGGAAGCATATACCGTGCACATGGATTGGAAGAATTAATATCCTTAAAATGTCCATACTACCAAAAGCAATTTATAGATTCAACGCAATCCCTATTAAGATACCAATGACGTATTTCACAGAAATAGAACAGACATTTCAAAAATTTATATGGAACCATAAAAGACCCCGAATAGCCGCAGCAATTTTGAGAAAGAAACACAAAGTAGGAGGGATCACAATACCGGACATCAAACTCTACTACAAAGCCACTATACTCAAAACAATCTGGTACTGGCACAAGAACAGACCCATAGACCAGTGGAACAGAATAGAAAGCCCAGAAATAAGCCCAGGTCTCTATGGACATCTAATATTCGACAAAGGGGGCAGAAGCATAAAATGGGGCAATAACAGCCTCTTCAACAAATGGTGTTGGGAGAGCTGATGGCTACATGCAAAAAATTGAAATTGGATCATCAGCTGACACCATACACAAAAATAAACTCAAGATGGATAAAAGACTTAAATATAAGTCGCCACACCATCAAAGTCCTAGAGGAGAACATTGGCAGGAAACTCTCAGATATCCCATGCAGCAATTTTTTCACTGATATGTCTCCTAAAGCAAGGGACATAAAGGAAAGAATAAACAAGTGGGACCTCAGCAAAATAAGAAGCTTCTGCACGGCTAAAGAAAACATCAGCAAAATGAAAAGGGAGCCAACCGTTTGGGAAAATATATTTGCTAATGATACATCAGATAGAGGTTTGATCTCCAAGATATATAAAGAACTCACTCGACTTTACTCCAAGAAGACAAACGATCCAATCAAAAAATGGGCAAAGGACCTGGGCAGATGCTTTTCTAAGGAGGAGATACAGAGGGCCCAGAGGCATTTGAAACGATGCTCCGCATCACTAGCCATCAGAGAAATGCAGATCAAAACCACCATGAGGTACCACCTCACACCGGTCAGAATGGCCATCATAAACAGATCCACAAACAACAGGTGCTGGCGAGGCTGTGGAGAAAAGGGAACTCTAGTCCACTGTTGGTGGGAATGCAGACTGATGCAGCCACTATGGAAAGCAGTGTGGAATTTCCTCAGAAAGCTGAAAATGGAACTGCCTTTTGATCCAGCGATTCCCCTGCTGGGACTATACCCTGAGAACACCAAAACGCCATAGAAAAGAACCTATGCACCCCAATGTTCATAGCAGCACAATTTACAATAGCCAAGTGTTGGAAGCAACCTAAATGTCCATCAGTAGATGACTGGATCAAAAAATTATGGTACATATGCACAATGGAATACTACGCAGTAGAAAGAAAAAACGAAGTACTAAACTTTGCGACAGCATGGATGGAACTGGAGAGCATCATGCTAAGCGAAATAAGCCAGGGGGCGAAAGACAAATACCATATGATCTCACCTATAAGCGGAACCTAACCAACAATGCAAAGAAGCAAGGAAAATATGACCAGCAACACTGAAAGGAAAAGAAATCAACAGAGACAAGAGAGAAGGCGGGGGGCAGGGAAAGGGAAGGGAAGGGGAAAGTCAAGGAACATATAGCAAGGACTCATGGACACAACCAAAGGGGAAGAGCTGAGGGTGGGAAGGTGGGAGGGGGCAAGGCAAAGAGGTGGGGGGAAGGCAGAGACAAATGTCTTTAAAAAGTAAATAAATTAATTTTAAAAAAAGGAATAAATTATGGTACATATACACAATGGAATACTACACAGGAGAAAGAAAAAAAGAACTACTAAACTTCGCGACAGCATGGATGGAACTGGAGAGCATCATGCTAAGCGAAATAAGCCAGGGGGCGAAAGACAAATACCATATGATCTCACCTATAAGTGGAACCTAACCAACAATGCAAAGATGCAAGGAAAATATGACCAGCAACACTGAAAGGAAAAGAAATCAACAGAGACAAGAGGGAAGGGGGGGGGCAGGGGAAGGGAAGGGAAGGGGAAAGTCAAGGAACATATAGCAAGGACTCATGGACAAAACCAAAGGGGAAGAGCTGAGGGAGGAAAGGAGGGAGGGGGCAAGGGAAAGTGGTGGGGAGGAGGTAGAGACAAATGTATTTAAAAAGTAAATAAATTAAAAAAAAAAAACAAGACAGAAATTGATTCTCTCACTGTTCTGAAGATCAGATGTCTGAAATCAAAGTGTTAGGATCATGCTCCTTCCTAAGGATCTAGGAAAGATTCTTTCTCTGCCTCTTTGCTTCTGGTGGTTGCTGGCAATTCTTGCCCTGTAACTGATACACCTTTGGTGACTTGTAACTGCCATCACTGTAATCTCTGTTTCTGTCATCATATGTATGGCCTTCTTCCTTATGTGTCTCCTCTGTGTCATCAATATCTCTCCCCATATGAAGTGATCAGTCATTAGATTTAGGGCCCATCCCAACCCAGTATGACCTTCTCATTACTTGATTACAAGTGCAAAGAACCTATTTCCAAATAAGGTCATATTTGCAGGTACAGGGGGGTTAGCACTTCCAATATATTTCTGTAGGGGGACATAATTCAACCCATAACACCATCACCACAGTCAACATCATAAATATATTCATCCTCACAAAGTTTCCTAATGTCCTGACAGAGATGATGCCCACTGTAGACCGCAGGAGGGTTAAATACCCTAACTCTTCCTTTCTTCCTGTTTCTAATCTCCTGCCAGCATCTGGATGTCAGAGAGCAACCAGGACTGGGAAATGTCTTCTGCAGAGGCCATTCCTTACGGTGAAGAGCAAAGGGAGGAGCAGAAGACTTGACCTGACAGCATACAGGCCAATGCCTAAGACAGATTGCTTTAAGTTGAAGTTTAAGCAGGAAGGTGTTTTTGGATCAAAGCAGTAGAGAGTATTTGCAAGATGTCTTTGCCATGATTCCAGTTCTTCCCTGAAGCTTCTAGAGAACCTTTATTCAGTTGGATATTTGGGGAAGTTTCCTTATGACTCTGCTTCCCAAACAGGGTATGTGCCCATCTCCAGAGGTTTCCCAGGATAAAGCTGGTACATCCTCCAGGATTGCCATTTTGGGGGGCTGAAGGGAAATTTCGATGAAAAGTTTGACTTCTCTTATTGTAAATAGGTATTGTGACATACCTGTGCAGATGATGCCTCTTTTATATTAAAATAAGATAAAGTTTTTCTGTCTTTTTCACTGCTATATCCCTCACACTTAGGGAAGAATTTAATACCTAATATTACATAAATATTAGTGGAATATATGAATACATGGACATACTAAAGAATAGAATGCAAAATTTCCATGAATTATCAGAATAAAATAAGAAATTTCAGAGAAATCTCTGGTGATAATAGTTTGCTCTGAGCCCCTGTCTAGACTCTGTGGGGGATAACAGTCATCACCATCTACCCTTAAAGACACTTGGGTGAGAAGGCCTGACTTAGGCTAACCAACCCCTTCTCCTAGGCAAGGGCTTGCTATGAATTCCCATCTACCTCCCCAATACCCACCAATTTGCCCGCTAGATATTGCTGGCATATTTTACCATAACTGCTGCCATAGACTCTTGGCCTATGCTGCTCCAATACTCACACTGACCTCAGCTTCACTTTTGTGTGGGGTCTCTTGGTTCTTCATTGGATTGGCTGGCCCTTTCCCTCTCTCCCTTCAGACTTCTGCTAATCTCCTGAACTGGCAACTCTGAGGATACAGGTTTTAAGTTGAGCTGGTATACTCCCTTCATCCAAAGTAAATGGGATATTCTCTTTATATATCTTCTAAGCCTCTGTTTCATGGAGAAAGACTAACTATTGGTATATGTATGATCTTAAAAAGTTAACAGCAGCATGGACTTAGCTTGCTGACCTGGGTGGTATCCCAACACACCACTTACTTGGAGCCACGATGTTCTCATCTGTAAAACAGAATGCTTCCCTTTGCAGAGCTGTTGTGTGGAAGTGACAGAAGGCACTGCAGGCAGGCAGCATTGTGCCTGGGACATGGCAACCTCTCATTGTTGGCACTCTTCAAATCTTTGACATTCCTTCCGGGGAGATGCGAGGTCTAGTTCCCTTCCATTGACTAGGGACCAGCCTTAGTGACTTGCGTCTAGTTAGTAAAATGCAGGTGTAGTGAAGCCACTTGGCTTCTGAGGCTAGGGCAGGAAAAGTGATACAGCTCTCACTCTCTCTCCCCCCCTCCCCACTTGCTTTAGAACCAAGTCACCATGGTAAATGGAAGCCCAGGAATATGAAGGGGTCATTAAAAAGTGTTCTGACCAAAATTTCAACTGCAGTTGAGCTAGCATCAGCAAGCAAACATACAGCTGAACATACTTTCTAGATAATTCCAGCCCCACCCATGTTCTGACTTCAATCAGGAGAGACCTCTGGTGAGAACTGCCCTGCTGAGCCCAGTCCAACCCCAGTGCCATGAGAGATAATACTAATACAAGGTTCTTGCATTGTGCCAACAAGTTTGGAGTGGCTTGTTACTCAGTAATACATAAACTGAGCAATTAGGACACAAAACCCTAGATCATGAGGATAAATTTACCACCCATCATCTTTCAGACCCCAAGTCTGCAAGCAGCAAGCGAGGTTCACAGGACCTACTTACGGAGCATGGAAGTTTGAAAGGCTTGGTGGGCGTGGTGAAGCAGGCACTGTGAATAGGGTCTGGGTTTTGGCCCTCGTTCCATTGAGCCAGGAGTGCCTCCCGGTAAATGGTAACCCCTGCCTCTCGAAGTGCGTCCTCCACTGCACTTTCCACTGAGTAGTTGTTGATGCAGGTGATGGTGGAGGTGGGCGGGGGTTGCACGAGGTGGATGCAGGAGCCCTTTATGCCAAGGTTTAAGAGCGTCTCCACTGTGGTGTAAGTGTCAATTGTATCCCCATAGACAATGACATTCCCTAGAAACGGGGGAAATGCTAAGTTATACAGTTTTTAAAAAGGAACAACCTTTGTAGTCAAATGCTAATAATAGTGAAATGCTCCCTGTAACCCTCTCCTTTTTCAGTTGCTGGAAGCTAGTGGTGTTACCTAGCAACGGTGACCAAGATAATTTAGTAAAGAATTGGCACAAAACATCCCACAAAGTAGTCAAGTACTTTTAACTTAGAAGTAGGACATTCATTTATGTTCCTATAATTTGAAAGTTGTAATTATGATAAATAAAACTGTCTAGAATAAAATCTTTTACACTGTTTTTCTTCTCTCTTTGCCACACTTATTAAGGAAAAGATTACTAAAGTTTGCAATGTATACAAGTTCTTCCTAATATGAAAAGGACAATGGTAAAAACAATTCATGTACATTATGGTATGGATATATTAATATTTAAATGTTGAATCTTGTAGATTTTAAGGAAATTTTTCCTTTTTTTGAGAACTAAAGACTAGAACGTTCTGCTTTTCAACAGAAATTTTTTTTTTCCTTATTTTTCTCTCACCCAACATGCTTATTGATTTTAGAGAGAGGGGAAGGGAGAGAGGGAGAGAAACTTCCATGAGAGGGAAACATGGATAGGTTGCTGCCTCCCATATGTGCCCCAACTAGGATAGAACCCACAACCTAGGTATGTGCCCTAACCAATAATCAAACTAGCAATATTTTGGTTTATGGATGATGATTCAACCAACTTAACCACACTGGCCAGGGCCAACAGATAATTTTTATAAAGATTTAAATTCTGACTTCTAGAATTTACTGTGTCAAGATATAGCAAAAGGGGCCAAAGATTTTTCTTTTGGTAAGGAAAAATAAAATCACTATAATCTTGGGAGATTTCTTCTGTGTAACAACATTTTGATGGTAACAGTTTATAGTGTTTATATTTCTTAAAAATATTATGAAAGTTAATGATGTATGCTATTCTAATTTCATCAGTTGTAAGATCAAAGATACTGTTAATTGAGTGAAATATATCATATGCTATTTACATGCTATTTTTGACATTGAATTGTCATTTTTACTGTTTCACAAAGAAACTGCTGTAGATTCACTTTTCAGGCAAGCTGTAATAGTTTACCACAAAATGATAGGTTCATTGACTCTTTTTTTCTCCTGTTTTCAAAATGATATGAAAAGGAATTTTATGAAGCAAAATAAATGGCAAATATATTTATTCAGTTAGTTGACTAAATTATGCAGAAATCTACTTCAATACAAAATTGAAAAAAGGTGTAATGGCTTGTTTTATTTGCTTTGGAAAAAAGGAACTAGAGTAACTTTCAGACTGCTTCTCTGAAGGTAACAGCATGTAAAAAGTTCTCCCATACTTCCTTTGTTCAAATATGGAATACCAAGAGGGCCCTGAAGCCAGGGGTAGGGCTCTTCCTTCCTGTCTTCACTAGGAGGCTCCAATTTTGTGGCTATTCTCTCTTTTATTCCTTCTTCTAATCAAACATTCATAGATGAGCTGCATTTTCCTTTGCTGAAAGAGTCAACATTTTGCTTAAATAATTGAGACTCCCACCTGCTGTGGAACATGAATCCCAGTGTCTGGCATAACAAAGAGTCAACCTTCCAGTAAAGCCAAAACCTGAACCTCAAACTGTCAAAGGTTTGAGGTCTTCTGCCCTTTTAAAACATACATGCCAAAACAACATTTATTTTCAGTGAAACAGATTTAAGCATTTAGGCCTTATGCAACTCACAACTTGGAGTTTAATATTTTTCTAGTCTTCTTCATGCTAGTTTTTAGTAAATATACTGTAAGATGAGATTTTTCATTATGGACACACGGAAGTCCAGGCAATGCAATATTGCTAGGGTATGGAAAGCTGCACCATCTGCCAACAGAGTGTAAGCAGCTGGAGAGAGTGATGTTTATCCATTCAAAAGGTAATACATTTTATAAAACCTCTAATGTTTAAATTTGATGTGTATTTATATTCTAACTTCTAAATACTTTTGTCTACCTTTAAGTTTAATTTGAAACAATCCCCAACCCCAAATGAGACTTTATCATAATAGTCAGCTATTGTCATGATAATGCTGTGTAACAAACTATCCTCAAAACTTAATGTCAAATAAAAACAAGTTTGTTGACGATTGGCTCACACATCTGTGGGCTGGCTGATGTCAGGTGACCTGGCTCTGGGTTGTGTTTGGAATCAGGTTTGCACCATGTGTTTTTCATACTCAGTGGACCAACAGATACCTGAGGCATGTTCTGTTTATGGAGAAATGCAGGAGCACAGGCAGGCAAGTGCAATTGCTAAAGCACTTTTCAAGCCTCTCTTACATTACATCCTCTAATGTTCTATTTACCAAGGCAATTCACATGACCTTTCCCATGTCAAGAACGCAGGGAGTACACTCTGCCTGAAGTAGGAGGGGAAGGGGTGTGGATATTCACTTAACAATAGGTCAAGCCATCACAGTCACAATGGGCATATATTAAATATTGATACGATCTCATCTAAAATTTTTCATTTAAACATGTTTTATATGCTTAGTTATATTTCTCATTACTTGTAAAATATAGTAGAATCTCATTATAATTTGTTACTAAATAAGAACATGTCATATCTCTCCTCAAATAATGACAAGATTTGATGTAAAAAAATCAACCCATTACTCTTTGCCAGTTTGATTTCTTGCCTTTTTTCCCCCAGATCAACACACTTTATTAAGCACCAACAGTGATGCAGGCTCTGCACCATGAACAGAAATAAATAACACAGTCTTGCCCTCAAAGGGCTTACAGTCTAGTAAGAGAGACAAAGCAGCATTTCGTTGACTGCTATACTGTGGATTCAGATAAAACATGGGGTGGTAGTATCTCAAGAACACCTAACCCAGCTGGGGCTTCAGATAGTGCCTGAGCTGAGAGTCAGCCAAATCTGGTCTCCTTTCATCATAACTGATCTCCTTCACCATTTTCTTGTGGAACTCAGGGTGGGTGACGATGTTGAGCAGATGTTGCCGGTAAGGCTGGTTAAATATCAGGTCCCCCAAGAACTTGCAATTAATGTCACCATTCTCCAAAAAAACCTCAGTGCCAAGGGCTCCACATTGTGCTTGTGGACAGGGTAACCTGGCTGTACAATGTATGGGCAATGACATCAACATAAATTGCTGCATACTCCAGCTGCTGAAACACCTGGATCACTGAGCTCTTGCCTGAGGCAATTCCCCCTGTCAGACCAGCCAGGAACATCTTCTCAGGAAAAAGGCGGTCAGTGAGACTAGAGACCCAGAAGTCGGATAATCACTGGAGTAGGGCAAGCTCAGCCAATTAGGATGGGCCAACCCAGGAATGCCAGAAGGACCTGCCCTGGGCTGCTGCAGCTCACCCAGTCTCACAGTAGCTTACCCTGATATGTTGTCTTTTAAGTTTCCCCATTCTGTGGGGGATTATTATTTCCATTATCTTTGTACAGTCATGAGTTCTTTCTATGTCATTTTTTTCTTTTACTTTGTAAAGAATTTTGAAATTCAAGTTTATCTTATGACTTCTATATATCAGGCACAAAGCAAAGCACTTTTATACATAATCCGGTATTATTATTATTACTATTATCATCATCACTGTCAATAACAATAACATTTAGAGCTGATAACAGTAACATTGGCTCAACTCAGATGCACACAAATAATTTTTTCATAAGTTAATACGAAAAATATAAGCATGGAGATAATTCACAGAATAACCAAAATCTAGTAGACAAATATTTTGATTCTTCATTTTTCATTTTGGGACAAATCAACCTAGGCATAGAGATATGATTATTTCTATTTATCAGAATAACATTACTAGTACAGATGGGGTAGAACTAGCATTTCTGAAGCCCCCATGTCAAGGACTCACCACGGCCCTTGTGGCTGAGCCTATGGTCCAGCCTCCAGCCAGCTGAGGCCTCAAGAGGCCCTTGGTGGTCTCTGCTTTTCCTTCCCTGCACTCACCAGTCTATTCTCATTAATGTATCTGTGAGATGACTTCAAGTTTTCCCTGCTCACTATGTTATCCCGGGAGTCTTGCACAATGCCTGGCCTACAGTGAGCGTGACAGGCTGTTTCCTGACTGAAGCACAGATGAAATGTTTGAGATTTATCAGATTGCTGATCATAGATTAACTGGGCCTTACTTTTGCTTCTACTTGTTATTTACTGTTAAGTTGGCACTACAAGAAATATCCAACCACAGGATGGGTTGTATACCTGATATTTATAAGATAGAAACATGTGCTCCTTCACAGTGTTAGGTCTGGTTATTGGTTTCCATTGTAGCTCATAAAATCCTACATAATCCAAATAGTATGCACCAACAATGCAACAGTATCAAATAATATCATTGAGATTTAAACCCAGGGAAATGAAAATATTTTATATGGAAGTTAGCAGTTATATAACTATCTTGTTGTATCAGTTGGGTTATTTTTTGGCTAAATCAGGGAGGGAATATAGGAAGGAAGAAAACAGAGAGAAAGAAAGTGGATTGAGAGATAGATGAACAGAGAGAACCTCAGAGAAATATATTTTCTTCAATCGCTGGGTAACAGAAGAAAGTTTAAACGTGAAAGAAGAGAGTTGGGGAGTCAGGGGTGACTGTAGATGAAATGAGTGGTGTGAATAACAATGAAAAGGGCTCTGTCTAGGGCAGACATTTAGTCTGACAGTCTTGTCCCAGCTAGAGTGTATGAAATGGGGTAAATGGGGTTCCACTGGTGCAGAACATCCTGAAGACTGCACAGAGAGGGTTATGTGGGACCTTCGCTTTTCTTCTTTCAAGTCATGGTTTTTTTCTTGGAGAATCCTCCACCTTAAGAGTATTAAGCATAATGATGAAATGGCAGAAAAGCATATTCTCCACATGGTTAAAATTAAAGCAGGTTATGTGGGACTCATTACATACATTCTTTGCATTTACAGCAAAGTTTTAATAAGTCAGACAACTTCAGTTATC